GATTGGGGTAATCTTTGCCAAAGTGAAGCATTCCCACTAGATTTACTGAGCTTCTGGAGGAGCAACTGCACTTGCAAAGTGACTTGTCGGGTGTGCTCTTTGGTAATACACCCTCTGAGGGTTAAGCGCCGGTGTATGAGACAAATTAAATGCCCACAGAGTACCCATTTTTGCCCTACATAATACCCTATAATGCCCCTTATGGATTACCCTCTATAATACCCCTATTTAATGCACGATATAATACCCCTATAATTACCCTATTAATGATCCTATAATGCCCCTATAATGCCCCTATAATGCCCTTATAATACCCCTCTAATTGCCCCTATTAATGCCCCTATTATACCCCTATAATACCCCTATAATGCTCCTATAATGCTCACCTATAATGCTCTATAATGCCCCTATTAATGCCCCTATAATGCCCTTATTAATAACCCTATTATAATGCCCCTATAATGCCCCTATAATACCCCTAATAATGCCCATTTAATACCCCCTATATATGCCCCTCATAACATCCATACAATGCCCTATTATAAAACCCATATAATGCCCGATAATAACCATATAATGTTCCTATAATACCCCTATAATGCCCCTATAACATCCATATAATGCCCCTATAACACCCATATAATGCCCCTATAATAACCATATAATGTCCCTATAACATACCATTACAATGCCCCTATAATAATACCCATTTAATGCCCCTATAATACCCATTTAATGCCCTTATTAACACCCATATAATGTCCCTATAATACCCATTTAATGCCCCTATAACATCCCATACAATGCCCCTATAATACCCATATAATGCCCTTATAACAACCATATAATGCCCCTATAATACCCATATAATGCCCCTATAACAACCATATAATGCCCCTATAATATGCCCCATATAATGCCCTTATAACAACCATTATAATGTCCCTATTAATAATGCCCATTTAATTATAATGCCCCTATAACATCCCAGCCCTATAACAACCATACAATGCCCCTATAATACCCATTTAATGCCCCTATAACAACCCCCATATAATGCCCCTATAATACACCATTTAATGCCCCTATAATACCATTATAATGTCCCTATAATACCCATTTAATGCCCCTAAAATATCCATTTAATGCCCCTATATAATGCCACTATAACATCCATATAATGCCCCTATAATACCATTTACCCCCCATATTACTAAATATACCAATGCACACTAACATCCATATTATGCCTCCTATATAATGCCCCCTATAATACCCCTATAATTATAATGCCCCTATATTTAATACCCATATAATGTGCCCCTATAATACCCATATAATGCCCCTATAATACCCATATAATGCCCCTATAACACCCATATAATGCCCCTATAATAAAACCCATATAATGCCCCTATATAATACCCATATGAACCCGATAATAAATTGCCCCTATAACACCCATATAATGCCCCTATAATACCCATATAATTGCCCCTATAATACCCATATAAATGCCCTATAATACCCATATAATGCCCCTAATAATACCCCATATAATGCCCCTATAATAACCATATAATGCCCCTATAACACCCTATAATGCCCTATAATACCCATATAATGCCCCCCTATAATACCCATATAATTTGCCCCTATAATACACATACCTATAAATACCCATATAATTGCCCCCTATAATGCCCTATAATTGCCCCTATAATAACCCATATAATGCCCCTATATCCATATAATGCCCTATAATACCCATTTAATGCCCCTTACCCATATAATTGCCCTATAATACCCATATAATGCCCCTATAATACCCATATAATGCCCCTATAATACCATATAATGCCCCTATATTCCATATTGCCCCTATAATACCCATATAAATTGCACCTTAACCCTATAATACCCATATAATGCCCTATTAATACCCATAATAATGCCTTATAATCTATATAATAATACCCCATATAATGCCCCTACTAACCCTTACATGCCCCTATAATACCATATAATTGCCAATAAAATTAAATACCCATATAATGTCCCATATAATAATGCTCCCCCTATAATACTCCATATAATGACCCTATAATACCACATTAAGCCCCATAATAATCATATAATGCCCCTATAATATGCCCCTATAACACCCCATATATAATACCATATAATTGCCCCTATAACACCCATATAATGCCCCTAATAATACCCATATAATTGCCCTATAATACCATATAATGCCCCTATAATACCATATAAATTGTCCCTATAATACCCATATAATGCCCCTATAATACCCTATAAATAATGATAATGCCCTATAATACCCCCCTATAACACATATTATGGCCATATAATGCCCCCTATAATACCCCATATAATGACCCTTATGCCCCATATAATGCCCCTATAATACCCATATAATTGCCCCTATATTACCCATATAATGTCCATCACGCTGATACCACCTAAAGTCGGATTGTACAATCAGGTTGTAACATGTATGGTGACCCCACACAGCTATTGTCCACTATTTTGAAATCTGCAGGTTTGCTGCCCACATTCCCCCCCCCCCCCGAGATCCGGCCAGCAATCCGATCCGCGGAGCCCGATTGGGGAAGTATTTGTGTAATACAGAGCAGCTTCACATCCACTGCAATCCATCCGGAGTCACTCCTCCCCCCAGTATTACCCCCCCTCCCCCACCTAGCCCATACCCTCAAAGTTGGTACCCTCTCTCTCCCACCAGTAGTTACCCAGTAGTTCCCCCCCCCCCCCCCCTAGTAGTACCCTCCTCCCCCAAGTAGTACCCTCCTCCCCCTAGTAGTACCCCTCCTGCCCCTAGTATTACCCCCCTCCCCCTAGTAGTACCCTCCTCCCTCAAGTAGTACCCTCCTCCCCCTAGTAGTACCCTCCTCCCCCCTTGTAGTATTACCCCCTCCCACCTAGTAGTACCCTCCTCCCCCTAGTAGTACCCTCCTGCCCCTAGTAGTACCCTACCCTCCCCCCTAGTAGTATCCTCCTCCCCCCCAGTATTACCCCCCCTCCCCCCAGTAGTAGTACCCCCTCCCCCCCTAGTATTACCCCCTCCTCCCCCCTAGTAGTAGTACCCCCCTCCCCCCAGTAGTATTACCCCCCTCCCCCCAGTAGTAGTACCCTACTCCCCCCTAGTAGTACCTCCTCCTCCCCCAGTAGTAGTACCCTCCTCCCCCCCAGTAGTAGTACCCTCCTCCCCCAGTAGTAGTAGCCCCTCTCCCCAGTAGTAGTACCCTCCTCCCCCGTGATAGTAGTACCCCCCTCTCCCCAGTAGTAGTACCCCCTCTCCCACCAGTAGTAGTACCCTCCTCCCCCCCAGTAGTAGTACCCCCTCCTCCCCCCCAGTAGTAGTACCCTCCTCCCCCGTAGTAGTACCCTCCTCCCCCGTAGTAGTACCCCCCTCTCCCCAGTAGTAGTACCCCCCCTCTCCCCAGTAGTAGTACCCTAATCCCCCGTAGTAGTACCCCCCTCCCACCAGTAGTAGTACCCCCTCTCCCCAGTAGTAGTACCCCCTCCCCCCCAGGTAGTAGTAGTAGTACCCCCCCACCCCCAGTAGTAGTAGCCCCCTCTCCCCAGGGGGCTACTCCCCCCAGTAGTAGTACCCCCTCCCCTCTCCCCCCCCCCCATTTCCCGGCTGGCAGCCTCTCAGACCCCACATGCTGTTGGCTCCCTGCCCCGCCCCCGCGGGCGCTCCCGGAGAGTCAGCCAGCTGCCACTGAACACGCTTCAATCAGAGGCTTTTCTTTTAAACACATTTTTTTATTAGAACAACTTTTCATCGTAAAAAAAAAAACTTCTTTTCATATAAAAGTTCATCTTAGAAAAGTCCGATAAATAGAAGATTTTCGGTAAAAGTCTCTGAGCCCCGCGGGGGCTTACCGGACATCGGACTCGGCCCTGTGGTCGGGGGGACCATTGAAGGGCCGGTCTTCACTTTGTAAGCCCCTCCCCGGGGGAACAGCTCAGTCCTTACAGTAACACTCGGAGCACAACCGGGGGCCCCTCCTGCAGCTTTGGGGCCCCCGCCAGTCTGGGACTTGTAGTGCCCCTCTATGGAGGACAGTTGCTCGCGCACATTCACACATAAAAAAAGCAGACATCATCCTAGCTTATTCCTGGGGGGTGGGGGAGGGGAGGCATTAACCCCTGTGGCCCCGGAGCAGAGTGACACCTAGGGGCCCCGTGCTTGGCATCCAGTTAATACTGTCGGGCTGCTCAGAATTACAGCGCTGAGATCAAAAATAACAAAAATAAAAGAAAACACTCTGTTGGATGACCTGGGCCCCCTGTCCAGGTGCTCGGTTCTGGTTCTGGTCCAACCAGTGGTGACACCTACACCTGAATACCCAGTGCACCTGTCCTAGTTGCTCGGCTCTAGTCCAACCATTGGTGCTGGTACTGGTCCAACTAGTGGTGACTGGTTCTGGTACAAGCAACGGTGATTGGTTCTGGTCCAGCCAGTGGAAATAGGTTCTAGTCCAAATATTGGTACTAGTACTGGTCCAACCAGGGGTGATGGGTTCTGTTCCAACCATTGGTGGGTGCTTGTAGTGGTCCAACCAGTGGTGATTGGTTCTGGTCCAACCAGTGATGACATCTACACCTGATTGCCCAGTGCACCTGTCCTAGTCCAACCATTGGTGCTGGTACTGGTCCAATCATCATTGGTGTTGGTCCAATAATTGGTGAATTAGTGCTGGTACTGGTCCAATCATCATTGGTGTTGGTCCAATAATTGGTGAATTAGTGCTGGTACTGGTCCAATCATCATTGGTACTGGTCCGATCATGGGTGCTGGTACTGGTCCGATCATGGGTGCTGGTACTGGTCCAATCATGGGTGCTGGTACTGGTCCAATCATGGGTGCTGATACTGGTCCAAGTACTGGTTCTGGTCCAAGTAGTGGTGAGATGTACAACCCCCCCTCCCCCTGTCCAGTTGCTGGGGTCCTAGACCTGGATGACCAGCGCCCCATTGGCAGTCGCCCGGTTCTGGTACCGGTCCAGCCAGTTCCTGAGCTCCCCGATCTTGTAGCCCTCGGGGCCCCGGCCCCCCTGGTAGACCACCCTTTCCGTCCAGGATGACGTAGAGCCTCTCGAAGTAGGCGCCGTAGGCGGCGTTGGAGGCGTTGGACATGGCGTCCACCACCACCCGGCACCCGGGGGCCCCCTGGAGCATGAGCTGAGCGGCGCGGAGCCGGTCCTGCAGGCACTGGTGGGTCGGGATCTGGTAGGCGGCGTCGGTGCTGACCCAGCCGTCGGGGAGGGGTGGGCTTCCTCGATGTAAACCAGCAGAAAGTCGGCGATGTCGAGGCGCTGCGTCGCCAGGCGTTGGTAGGCTTGCAGGCGCGCCATGAAGGGCGGTCAGGTGCAGCTGCCGAAGTTGACCACCAGAGGTCTGTGGCCCTTGGAGAAGTCCAGGATCCGGCAGAGCCGCTGGCCCTCCAGCATCACCACCTCGGTGTTAGGGGCCCCCCGCCCAGGTGCGCCGACTTGAAGAAGTCGAGCTTCTGTCCGTACCAGACCGCCTTCAGCGACTCCAGCGTACACATGCGGTTGGTGTCGGAGACGCAGAGCGCGGGGGGGTCGTCCCTCTCGGGGCTCTCCTCTTCCTTGGCCCCGCGGATCAGCCTCCTGCGGACACACGGGAAGTCCAGGAGCCACAGCAGGAGGGCGGTGAGCAGGAAGCGGGGCAGCAGCAGGCAGCAGGCGAGGAGCTGCTGGAGGAGCCGGCAGCAGCTGTGCGGAGCGGGCAGCATGGTACTGGACGCCGGTCACCGCGCGTCGGCGCTCCCCTCCGGCTCTGGGGGGCTCCCAGGCGCTTCTGAACACCCGCTCCTCGGTCACCCCCCATTTTATAGCCACACATTTAAATGAAGACTCCACCTCCGGACAGCACCGCCTCTCCAGCCGGGGGATTACCTTCTCCACTCCAATGACCTAAAAAAAAATAACGTGCCCAAAAAAAGGGGGGGGGGGGGCAGTCTGTGCACCGGAACCCCCCCTTGGGGTGAAAGCTCCATCAGAACCCCAATCACAGCCCTGGGGGGATTAGACAGTAACTTTCCCATCTTCATGGGGGGGGGGGGGTCACCTTATCAAATGACATTGAAAAGACAATGTGCCCCCCCCCAAAAAAGGAAGGGGGGGAATCTGTGCACCGAACCCCCCCCCCCCTTGGGGTGAAAGCTCTATTAGAACCCGAAGCACAGCCCTGGGGGGATTAAACAGCAACTTTCCCATCTTCATGGGGGGGGGGGGGGTCACCTTATCAAATGACATTGAAAAGGCAATGTGCCCCCCCAAATAAAAGGAAGGGGGGCAGTCTGTGCACCGGACCCCCCCCCCTTGGGGCGAAAGCTCCATCAGAACCCAATCACAGCCCTGGGGGATTAAACAGCAACTTTCCCCCTAGATGGGGGGGGGGGGGTCACCTTATCAAATGACATTGAAAAGACAATGTGCCCCCCCCAAAAAAGGAAGGGGGGGAATCTGTGCACCGGACACCCCCCCCCCCCCTTTGGATGAAAGCTCAATTCAGAACCCGAAGCACAGCCCTGGGGGGATTAAACAGCAACTTTCCCTCTAGATGGGGGGGGGGGGTCACCTTATCAAATGACATAAAAAATACAATGTGCCCCCCCAAATAAAAGGAAGGGGGGCAGTCTGTGCACCGAACCCCCCCTTGGGGGTGAAAGCTCCATCAGAACCCCAATTACAGCCCTGGGGGGGATTAAACAGAAACTTTCCCCCTAGATGGGGGGGGGGGGGTGTCACCTTATCAAATGACATAAAAAGACAATGTGCCCCCCCCAAATAAAAGGAAGGGGGCAGTCTGTGCACCGAACCCCCCTTGAGATTAAAGCTTCATCAGAACCCCAATTACAGCCCTGATCAGCGACTTTCCCATCTTCTTGGGGGGGGGGGGGTCACCTTATCAAAAGACATAAAAAAAGATAATGTGCCCCCCCAAAAAAATTGAAGGGGTGGTCAGCCTGTGCAACGGAACCCCCCTTAGGATTAAAGCTCCATCAGAACCTCAATCAGAGCCCTGGGGGGATTAAACAGCAACTTTCCCATCTTTATGGGGGGGGGTCACCTTATCAAATTACATAAAAAGACAATGTCCCCCAAAGAAGGAAGGTGTGTGTGTGGGGGGGGGGGGGTCAACCTGTGCATCAAACTCACACCCCCCCAGGATGAAAGCTCCATCAGAGCCTGGGGGGGGGGGGGGATTGATTAGCAACTTCCCCATCTTCACCTTGTCTAATGGCCAAAAAAGGTACCCAAAGGAAGGGGGGGGGTGGTCAGCCTGTGCACCGAGAACCCCAATAGTGTCAAAGCTCCATCAGAACCCCAATTACAGCAGCTCTGGGGGGGGGGGGGGGTGATCAGCAACTTTCCCATCTTTCTCCTTTCTCTAATGACCAGAAAAATGATAAGGTGACCACAAATAAGGAGGGAGGGGGTGACGGGGGGGGGGGGGGGGGGGGGGGCACCAGGAGCACCAGGAACCCCAACCGTGTGAAAGCCCCGTCAGAAGCAACTTTCTCCTCTTCATGGGGGGGGGGGGGGGGACCTTATCTAATGACCTAAAAAAAGGAGGGGGGCCTCAGTCCGAGAACCCCATTCGGATTGAAGCTCCATCAGAACCCCAAATGCAGACCTGGGGGGGGGGGGTAGTTGTTAAGCAACTTTCCCATCATTATTGGAGGGGGGGTTCACCTTTTCCACTGATCCAAAAAAGGGTGCCTCAAAGGGGGGGGGGGGGGGGGGGGGTCGGCCTGTGCACCGAGAACCCCAATAATCTCATATGAAGGATCCATCAGCCCCCCCAATCCCAGCCCTCGAGGTTATTGATCAGCAGCTTTCAACTCCCCCCCCCATCACATTATTATTATCCCCCCCATCGCATTATTATTACCCCCCATCGCATTATTATTACCCCCCCCATCACATTATTATTACCCCCCATCACACATTATTATTACCCCCCATCACATTATTATTACCCCCCATCGCATTATTATTACCCCCATCACATTAGTATTACCCCCCCATCACATTATTATTACCCCCATCACATTATTATTACCCCCCATCGCATTATTATTTACCCCCCCATCGCATTATTATTACCCCCCATCGCATTATTATTACCCCCATCACCGCATCACATTATTATTACCCCCCCATCACATTATGTTATTACCCCCCCATCGCATTATTATTACCCCCATCACCATCACATAATTATTACCCCCCATCACATTATTATTACCCCCATCGCATTATTATTACCCCCCCATCACATTATTATTACCCCCCATCACATTATTATTACCCCCCATCATTATCACATTATTATCCCCCACCCCCCCCCCCCCCCCCCCCCCCCCCCCCCCCGCAGGCTGTCCGGGCCAGGTCCTGGCAGTGGGGGGCTGCAGAGGGTCGGGGCCACTTTGGCATGCCTGCAGTGCAGAACTGACGGCACTTCGGGAGGCTGCGCCGGTTCCTCCAATCACAGCTGTTGTGTCATGCCCCCCCCCCCCCCCGCCAATGGATGTAGCAGCACCTCAATGCTGCCCCCCCATACAGACCACACCCCCACCATGGACCCCCAATCCGCAGCAGCAATGGAAGTGTCCGCCCTGCACCTGTCTGCCCCCCCCCCCCACCCGTCCACAGATCCCGATCTGCCAGGACCCCACCCTCCCCCTCCTGGGTGGGCTGACCTTCTCCATGGGAAGCCATCCCCGGTGTCCCCGGTGTCCCGGGGTACCGGCCTCTCAGCTGCTCTCAGCTCCTCCACCAGCGATAAGTGTCCCCAGGAGGAGGAATCCGGACTTCTCCAACCTGTTGCGGCGGAGAGGAGACGGGCTGCGCTGCCGGGAGCGGCCGGTAGAGGGCGCTGCTGTCCGCTCTTCCATGGACGGGATCTCTGCGAAGTTTTGGGACATTTCCCTCCCCCGCCCCCACCTATAGGATTGGCCTCTTATGTAACCGGCTTCCCGGACATTTCTAGGTGTCGCTGAACTTTCCTCTCATGTCAGGTGTCGGGGGCGGAGCTAAGGAGTCCCATGTCACCGGCCACCTGCAGCGATTCGCAGCACTACGCACAGATCGCAGTGACACACGCTGCAGGGTGACGCACAGCGAAAAAACACGGATCTGAAGATGAATTAGGTATACATTC